AGAGGCTCTGGAGGTCACTTTGGAAATGATCCTAACATCAGCTTGGTACTAACACAGTGGTCTGCAGAGTAACCCCAAGCATTTCACATGATTCTGGAGCCCAGGCTGATTAAGCCCCTATCCTGGGGCCCACATAGAAAACTGTACCAAATAACACTGCAGAAAGGCACCAGACAGATCTGCACATATTTTAAGATCTCAAATTTTAAAAAGCTGATGAAGATTAATGACTCAGACATCAGCTCTAGAAGTGTGGACTGTTGCTGGGTGGGGAGTGGGAACAACATGTCTCATTCACTAGTCCCCTGTTCAACAAGACTTAACACTTCTACACCAGCCGTGCTGATAAGAGCGAAGACAGACTGAGCTTGCAGGATCTTTGGAGAGACGAGGAAAACAGCACCCCCATACTGAGCAGGGGAGGGAGACTGAAGGCCCAGTGAGCACTGGGGACATCCCGGGACCTGGTCTCCCAAGGGAGCTGGCGCCTTCCTATCCCTAGTCTCCCTTACTACACAGGGCTGGGCACTGTACCATCAGTTGGAAACAGGATTCCAGTTCGAACCAAACTGCTGAACTCTTTCAACGTGCAGGCCATGGGCATTTGTGTGCGGGAGCTCATGAGGAGCTGGGTCATTCCCTGACAATCTCCAAAGGCAACACAAGGTCTGGAACCGCCTCTCCCTGCCCCCAAGGCCTCGAACCTGAGTCTGCTGGAAGAGCCACCTGCTCTGGGGAGCACTTCCTGGTCGCTCTGTCCAATCTCCCTGCACTCCTCCTCCATGCTCCAAGTACACGCTGCTCAGGACTTTCCTCCCTGGGTGCTAAGCTGTTGGGGGTTCATCTACCTATAGCTTACTTCTGCTCAGGGTCATTTTCATATTTACTGTTGCATCCCTAATGCCTCAAACAGGGTTTGGCGCATGGTGGGTGCTAAACAGACCCCGAGTGCAATATCACTGCTGCCGTCAGCCTGCAGGGATGGTGGTCTGCTTGGCAGGTGGGCGGGGTGGAGGATTCCCTACAGCACAGTACTTCCTGGAAGATTTGGGGGCACTTCAAGTGTTCTCCAGCACTTTCTGGGGACCCCAGCTATTTTCATTGGAAACTCATTCCTGTCCCCAGTGTCCTCAACCAGTCTCCACCCAGTTCCACTCACTGGGGCACAACACGTGACCTGAATGCAGACAGGAAGGACGGGACAGATGGTAAAAACTGTCCTACGACTGGTCTGCCTTGGTCAGCAGATGTCAGCAGCCAGTCTGCACTTAGGGTTCAAGCCAAGAACAAAGCTTTGGGGTCGCAGTGGGAGGTGAGGCAGGGCAAGCAAAGAGCTGGGAGGTGGAGCCAGGAAGCTGTCGTAGAGCAGGAGGAGACGGAAAACACCCAGAAGGGTCAGGGAGTTCTGGCCGATGCCTCCCAGCACAAAGGTGGAGGAACTTCTGAGTTTCCTGTTTTTAGGACCTTCTCCGAGGAGGCTGGAATGGTACACTGTCCCCTTCGTTGGGGTCGTGCTTGTTTGCAGTAACCAGGCACATGCGGCCTGCTCCAAGTGCACAAGTATAACGGCACAGGGGCGCTAGAAGCTGCAGGGCTCCGAGTTCCAGTGCCGCTGGCCCCGTGTGCCCTGGCTGCAAGCAGAAAGGACAAACTCATGACTCTAACGGCCTGGCCTGGCACTCCGATGACTGTCCAAGTCAGAGAGCATGCCAAGGCCAAAGGAATTTTCCATGTGGGCACTAATTATCATCTATGCAAACTAAAGTAGTTTGAAATGTGTATGTATTTATTACTACATCAACTAGTATTTTTACTGGTATATTTTTAATGATTTGACCATGGTTGTTTTCTCTTAGTAAAAAAAGATCTTAATCATGGTAAATGGCTATTATTTATAAACAGGATGTCTACTTATAAAAATTAAGAGAATGCTTCTTAATCCTGCTGCGAAAAGACAACATTTGGAATTGTACTCATAGCTTCTTATGTGCCTAGAAAGAATATCCTGCGGAAACAGGCACATTCTTTTCTCAAAGAATCTTTTCTTTCTCAAAGGTATGACAAAGAATCTTCTTGTGTTACGGAATCCATCTCTCTCTACCCTGCTTTCCTCATCTAGAAACTTCGCAGGAGTGGTGGGTTTTAATCTGTTCGTCTCTGAGATGTAAAAAGGTTATGTGCCACGATTCCACCCTTCATTTTGCCAGGGCTAGTGGGCAAATCTCCCAAAAGTCCGATGAGGTGGGCCTTCCCAGCAGCAGGGAGGAGACCCACACACAGACAGATACCTTTTCCTAGCACCATCTGGCTGCCAGCTAGCATTTCAAAGACGTGGAGAACCAGCCAAGCATGATGGTGCACACCTGTAATTCCAGCGCTCCAATAGGCTGAGGCAGGAGGATGGCAAATTCATGCTAGAACAGTTTCTAGGCTAGAAACTGAGCAAGACTCTGTCTTAAAACTGAACAATAAAGGGCTGGAGATGTAGCCTGACCCTGGGTTCAATCCCCAGTATTAGAATAAAGGGAAAGAAGGGAAAGGAAAAGGAAAGAAAAATGTGGAGAGCCACATGGACCTGAGATATGCACAACAGAGATGGTTTGGGTGTCAAACATGTTCTAGTTGGTTTTGCAGAAAATCCCTTCATCTTCCAATTAACAGCCTGACATGCAGTTTGCCTGCCCCATTCTGTGGAGGAGCAAACAGAAGCTTACAGAGGTAAAGGAGGGCCGGGGGTTTAGCTCAGTGGTTTTGCCACCTGCTGCGCAAGCGCAAGGACCCGAGTTGGATCCCCGGTACCAAAAACAACAACAAACAACAACAATAAAAAACAGAGGTAAAGGATTTGTCCAGTTGAAAATGCCTGAATCTTTGAAGTTCTCCAGTCTGACTCCTCCCTCTCCACTGGCCGCAGCCACCTCTCCGTGCCCACCCAGCACCATGCTGGGAAGCAGTGCTCGTGTGCTCTATGAGCCCTAGCTGGTCTCGGGGAGCAATATCAGAGAAGCCCCATTTCCTAGAAAAGTTTCCACAAATACAGCACTTGTCTGGCCTGTCTGCCAGGGCCGTGGAAAACTTCAGATACATAGGGGTTCAAATTCTCATTCTGGCCTGAAGTTGGTGTTTCAGACTGCAACTCTAGAAGCCCTTATCTATAAAATGAGGATAAGCACCTGATACTGCATCAAAGGGACCTAGAATATGGACATCAGATCCTCCCTGTAAAAAGGAACCCAACACGGACCCTTCAAAGATGGAGTCATGGAGAAACCAAACTGTCTTAAAGATGTAGTGGTCCCTGCTGGGACACCTATAGCGTCTATTCAAAGCTGTGATTAATCATGTGCAACTTTATGTCTCCCATGCTAGGCTGTAAGTTCAGAAGGAGAGGAACCGGGTTCATCCTTCACTCCCTGTGTCCCCAGTACCTGGTCATGTGGTGAGGACTCAAAATGAAAGAAGGAATGGGCTGGAGTTAAGGACAGAATGCTTCAATCAGAAACTCATCAAGGAGGCCTGGGGAGCTGCGGCAGACTCCGAAGTCCCATCAAGCCCTGGCCAGGAAGGGAGGTGCTGGTAAAGAGCCGCCTACTGGTGATACAGATCCCTCCTCCCCCAAGGGCACCCAGAGGCTGCTTACACTCAGATACTCCAGGCCCTGAGGCCACCACGTGCAATTAGATGCTGAGCCATCGCCCTTCTGGGGTCAGTGAGCTGCTACCAGGCCCTTTCCCCTAGGAAATGGCCTGCTCTTCAGAAACAGCTACAGCAGCTTGGCCAGGTGAAGAAAGTTTCCCGGCAAAGTCCTCCAGGCCAACCCATGGCCACCCCCGGACGGTTCTGAAGCCCTAGAGCTCTTGATTTGCTGTTTCTTTCCTGGAACACTTTCAGGAACTTTAGGGTTGTTATAAGGATGCAGATGATAAAAAGAACTAGCATCAAGTACATAGATGCTCAATACATAATATGATTATCAGTGTTCAGCAAGGCACACAACTAACCAGTTGACTACTATGTCAGGCTTCCACAAATAGAAATGCTGTTTTCTGGCCATGGAGCTCACAGTTCAGAGTCCACAAATCTAACAGGTCCACGAGGCCAGCAGCAAGGCCTGGGCAGAGCTCATGGAGACGGCGCAAAATGAATAAACGATGAGTCAGCTCCCGGGGCCACCTTTCCCTTTTTGGGGCAGCAGTCCGCAGCGTTTGTCATGATGACCAGAGGGCACTTCCAGCTTTTCATGAATGGAGGCCAGAGCCAAGACCGTGATGCCCTGACATCCTGCCCAGGGAGCTGCCCTGCTGAGTCCTGGCGCCACCCTGATGCCCAGCACAGGGCGCAGGGACATGGGGCGGGGGAGGCAGCCAGGATCTCGATGCAGTGCAGGAAATGAACACCGGCCACAGGGATGGTAACAGGGAGGGGACTCGGCCAGGACAGGGCCTCAGTTACTTTTTTCAGAGTTAAAGGAGGGGCTAGTTGGTGGAGAGAGGGGACCATTTCTCTGGCCTATAGCTAATTCTCTGTGTGTGATCCTGGTGCCACTTGGGTTTGATATTTGCCCTGTCTGTGGTGGCAGCTCCAGCTTGCCGATCAGTTTCAAACCCAACCCCAAGATGCAAGGAGACAGAATGGTCACAGGGTTTGGTCTGGTTCCTTTCTGACCTACCTTTTCCCCAAAGTCATCATGACCCTGTGGGAACCGGTGGGCCCTGGACTGTTCTTACTCCATGGTATCGGAAAGGGTAACAGAACACACACTGATAAAGAACAGGCAGTGTGGTGGGGACACACACGGACATCTACACACACACACATGCACACACACACCAGCAACCAGGCTCTCTGGTGAAAAGAAAGTGGTATATTTGTTCTTTCAAATTCACAAACACTGAATTTGCAGCATCAAAGCACAGCAAGTGGAAAAGGAAACCACATTTGCACACTGGCATCTGAACTTTTCACCCAGAGAACCACAAAGCATGCATGCATATACATACCCGGCTTGGGTACTGTCGCGATATGGCAGCACGGAAAATATACTACAGAAGGATCTTCTGCCACTGATAAGGACTATTCTAAAAAGTGGGGGAAAAAACAAACAACAAACAAACTAAATGCAAAGACTCAAAAAAAAAAAAAAAAAAGAGAATTTCTACAGCAATTAAGCATTCACGGAATTCACAGCAGTTATTTGCATACTCCCGCCACCTCCTCCGACAGATGGTATTCTGCTCTCCTTGCAAAACACAACCTCAGCGCAGCAGAATGCTGCCTCTCCTCACCCAAATACGAACACGTGCAGCCCCAGCGGTGCACGCGTCCTTCCTCCCGGGAGAGGTGCTGGCTGCAGGCTGTGGGTGTAAGACAGAGCAGACAGCACAGAGTCTGGGGCAGCCAGTGCTGGCGAACAGTCATGCCACACTTCCACCACTGCTTTCTCTTCTGCGGCGAACAGTGCAGTAGCAATAGCGTCAGATGTGAGCGGGAAAGACACTCAGATGCCATAATGATCATTAGGCTTTTTATGTGCTGGCAACATGTTAGTTAGGTTCTGAGAATAGATTGAAGGGAACAATTACATAATCAGTCTTAGCTTCCATTCCTGCTGGAAACAGTTCTACATGATGCTCTTATGTAATCAAAATCCACTTAAAAAAAACAACAACCCTCCCATATACTTATCCTGGCTTCTGAGAATAGCTTTTGCCAAAGGGAACTGCTGATGAAAAAAAATGGGGAAATGAATAGAAGAGATTTTAAAAACATTCTTTTTAAGCACAAGGTCAATATGTATCATACACCGGGGCTTATTTACTTGTGTAATAATTCCCTTCAATAATCACAATAACAACTCCTGGAGAAATACTACTACTGAATGCATCAGGATTTGGGAATTTTAAGCTTGTTTTAAAACTGATAGGAAATTGCCTCCAGTCCTGGGCTAGTCCAGTTCCGGGGCATGGCAAACAGTCTCTGCTCCTGGCGCTGGTTTCCAGGGTCCACACCACAACAGGCCCCCACTTCCCTGCCTCATCAGTCACCCTGCTAACACTCTCAGAGTTCCCCACCTTTAAAAACTCCTGCTGCTTTACACCTGTGCTGTCCCTACTGCCTGGAATACCCTGCCTTGGAACACTTGGTAAACTCCTACTGATTCTTCAAAACCTAGCTCAGGAAGTTGCCCCTCCAGGGAGTATTTCCTGCCCCTGGCTGAGTTTGCTGCTCTAGTCAGGGCTGCTTATTCTATTCCTTATTCCAGGTGTGATCATGCTGCTAGTCATGTGCCTGCTCCTCTTCCAGAGGTCAAGTCCAAGGGTCAGTACCCAGCAGCTCCTCCGTAACTGCCCATTAGATGTCACTGAAACGCAGCCAGGATGAGGAGCAGCATTCTGAGGATTCATGGCTAACAGGCCGGAAACAATGCTCCTGGAGTCTAACACCAGTGTTGGCACCTTTGTTTGACCTCCGAGAGCTCACTAAAACTCTTCTGAGCCTCAGTTTCCTCACCTAAAACATGCGATAAATTAGGAGCCATCCTCCTGGATTGTTGAGGTCCACACTCAGAGAATCCTTGCAATAGTGCCTGGCAAATAGAATGCCCACTCAGGAAGTAGGAACTAACTGTCCTCCCTGCAGACCAGCTTCTTGGGCTGAATTTTAGCTGCAAGTCCTCGGGCTCAGAGCTCTCCAGATCTCTGTGCTATATACCCAGCTGTGAAGATACAAAGGCCGTCCTGGCAGCTGAAGGTCCACATGCATAGTAGAAGACCCATCTGCAATGGTGGAACCCAAACGTAGAGATGCGTCCCCGAAGGGAGATGCTTCTCATCAGATACCACAGATCACAACTGGTCACTGTGGCAAGGACAGAGCACTGTGTTTGAGTGGGCTGGGAAGGCCCGAAGGGCCAGAGGTCGATACCTCAAGGTCACACCTGCCTTACACCAGCCAAGTCCCTGAGGCTCTCAGCATGGATTCCAGGGACAGAGCCTGCAGTGCAGTAGTGTCCATGCCAATTTACTGAAGCAAGCATAGCCATGGCTGGTGCTCATTATATACTGGTTACACCCAGATTCTAAGCTTGCTGGCCGATGAGGTGTGATGGTAAGGGATGCTCCAGCAGAGGTAGCAACTTGAGCTCTGCACCACCAGGGCTGCTCTTCTCTAACCTGCTAGCAAGAGCCACACCTGAGGCTTAGCTGGGAGCCCAGGGGCTTCCTGCACACCAACAGCCTGCCTTCTCTAAGGTGTCCCAAGGTGGCCTCCCAGCTCCGCCTGCAGGTCCCCTAAGGGTGAGGGAAAATGGAAGCATTGATGATACAGCTGCTGGAGGCTTCAGTTCCCCCTTCTGCCCACACCATCCAGCCAGGAGCAAAGCCTGGAACCACTCCTTGCCCTGTCCCTCACCATCAACATCTCTCGTGACACAGAGGAAAGAGTAGGTTGACCAACTCCCCAGCCTGGCATTACTGCACGTCCTTCATGTCCTGGTGCTAATGTGTCCTTCCTCTCCCCACATCCATTCACAGAAGGAGGAGAATATCAGTGCAAGTGCACCCTAGGTCTTCTTGTGACATTTTGACCACAAGCTGCCTGCTAGGAGAGGGGCTGCACTGTTGTGTGCAATGCATGCTCATTCTGGGTGGTCCTCACCCCTAGGTCAAGGACAGGCTGCCAAAGGCAACTTGTTCAGAAAAACGTGTTAATGCACTGCACAGCAACTGTGAACTTGGACAGTTCCCCAACAATTCCAACAGGGCTGGTTCTTCTCTGGTTGGCCAGTCCTAAGCAACTGGAGAGGGGAGGAAGTAGAAAAAGTCTTTCCTTTCTTGGGTCCAGGGACTCCCACTCTGCAGGGGCTGGAGGAGGAATCCATACCAGGGACCCACACAGCAAGCACTTCTCTGACAGGATTGCCAGAGGAGATCTGAGTTTTCTGAAACACTTCTGCATGGGCCTCAGGGGCCACCTGCAGGCCTCAGCCAGAGTAGGTAAGTGTCAACAACTGGGGAGCCTGGGCTCCCCAGATTCCTGCACTAAGCAACTTGGAGCAGCATGACTGTGATTCTAACAGGTCCCAGGTACCCACAGCGATGTTTAAAACCTTTGCTTAGCACTGGGAAATGATATCCAAAAAGAAACTCAGACTTGGTGGCCTTCTTCAAGCGCCTGTTATTTTTGAAAGAATTAAATCAGTTGCTGGTGGTCAAGAAAGACATAAGACAGGCAAACTCCATTTCTACTGAGCTTCAGAAAGGGGCCACTTCTATGTCACTGCCTCCAACCACCAGAGCTGCTCTTTCTTATGTGCAAATGGCACACAAAACGTCCACATGATTTTCCCCATCTGTGACATACAACACTTCACTTGAAGTCAAGGTCACCAGAAAGCATTAGATAAAAGACTTCAGAAGAGAAATTAACTCCAGGGAGATGGGTCTGTGAGGAATGAAAGGTCACATTTCCACACAAACATCTGCCAGAGGGAAAAAATAGTACAGGAAAAAGCTCCACTGGGCTGCCGCCCACATGGGCCACGCTGCCTGTGGATATGCACTGTTTTCCACTTCCGGGAAGCTCCAAGCCTGCCCTGCAGCTGGGACGCCTCGAACTTTCCTCTTGGTGCAGCCTCCTGGCTGTGCTCTTGGGAAAGTGTGCGCGGTAGGAAGCTTGCAACTTCAGATGCCACAGCTTCCACGGCCACACTTTGCTCGGGATCCTGGAGTGTCCAGAGCAGACAGCCAAGAGACACATAGCCCCTCACAGTTCTTGGATCCCCACGGGCCACTTTCACTGTGTTTTCACCCCCCTCAAACCAGTGCCTGCAATATTTAACCAGGGAATGCCTAGCACCATCCAGGATTCTCAGGGGTTTCGTTTTCTGCCAATAGCTGGCTTCTTGTCCCGTTTCCAGAAGCCCGGGGAGTCTGTTGGCTATGGGATTTGATCTCCTGCAGCTGGAACAGTCCATGATAGCAGAACTATTTTCTTAGGGACATTAAAAACAAGCAACCGGCTTTTTTTTGGTACCGGGGATCAAACTCAGGTCCTTGCACTTGCAAGGCAGGCGGCGGAACCACTGAGCTAAATCCCCGGCCCAAGCAACCAGCTTTAAAAGGCAGGGGAAAAGAAATCACATTTGCTACAATGCAGGAGGAATACAGTGCTACCCGAACACAGCCTGGTTGTCCACAGTGCATACTAGAAACCTACGCAAACACATTTCCTAAACTCATTTCCTACACATCCAGGGGGCAAGGGAAAAATATACTTGAAAATGTTGGTGTTGTGGGTTAAACTGTGTTCCCCTTAAAAGACATGTTGAGGCAGGAGCCTGCCCCTGCCCCCGTAAAATTTGGAAACAGAATCTCTCTCCAGATGCAAGAGTTAGGATGACATCAGATTACATCTGGGGACATCTAGACGTTCAGAGAGGAAGACCATACAGTGACAGAAAAATGGATTACAGCGATGCTGCCACAAGCCAAGGACACCAAGGAACTTGGGAAACACCAGAAGCTGGAGGAAGCTGGGGCGGGTTCTCCCTGAAAGTGTTCATCCTGCACACTTACTCTCCAGGATTGAGAGAGAAGCCCTTTTGGTTGCTTTAACCACCCACTTGTGCTACTCTGCAGAGCAGTTCTGGAAAACAATGTTGCTGGCACTGTCACTCTTTGGCATGGTCACTGTGCCCAGAGAAGGTGAAGTGGTGGAGACTGACAGTGCCATGCACAGGCAAACAGCACGAAATCTGGAAACCCATTGCCTTCCCAGCTCTGCTTTGAACCACTCTCCTCTCACAATGCTTTCTTAAAAGCTTCCAGAAGGGGGACCGGACCCCTTTCTCTCTCTCTCGTGAAAGGCTGACAATTGCCTAATGAGACCAACACCACCAAGTGTTCCTGGGCACCTACTGACACCTCATTCGCCACTGCGGGATGCGTGTCCACCTCAGGAAGTCCTCCCTTCACTGTCAGAGGTGCTCGGGCTGTGCACAGGACAAAGCAGAGATCTGGGGGCTTCCAAGGATATTCTGTCACCTTCTGTCCTGGAGGGGTGAACTATTCCGGGTAGG